AAATAGAATGGCCAGATTTCTCGCATCTTTTGGACGTATATTTGACATGGTACAAAACTGTGGTCATCGCACTCATAGCTGTCGCGTTAGCACTCGTCATTTCTTACGCGCTCTTTCAGACTGTAGGCTTATGCCTCGTGCGCCTACTTTTGCGGGCACTCATCACAATCCTATGCCTACCATTTCGCATCACAGCTATTTTGATACGCATTACACTACGTCGCTGCCGGAAAAACATGCGCATGCAAATATTACCCATGCACGCGAAAGAATTGTGAAAAAGAATGATGAGAAACGTAGAAATTTTCTTTGTAGAAACTTATAGATATTTTGTTTTTTTTTAGAAATGAACACCGAAACCGAAAAGGACAATTTCAAAAGAGGAATGGACCAAGTATCACAAGCCTTGAGACAACTGATTAGTGCAATGGAGGCCCTTGAAGAAGCATGCGAGAGATTCGGTGGCCCGGGCGAGACCGTGCAACACGGCGAAACAAACGAGGTGGAGATCGAAGAACAACCTCGGGAGGAAAATGAGCCAGACATCACCGAACGCGAGCCAACCATTTCGGAGAGCATGCAGGCGTATCATGATTCACTGGAACAACAACAACAACATGCCGACCCAAAGGAAGAGCAATTCGCACAAAAGCGCACTTCGAAAAGAGTACGCAGTCGTTCGGGCAGCGGTCAAGGGAACAAACACCCACGCACATCATCAGAGAGCACCTGGGACTCTGACATGAGCAGAGAGGAAATGCAACTACGTTTGGACGCGTTGGAGTCACAGAAAAAGGAAGAAACGGCGAAGCAGGAAACGATCGAGCGTGATATGAACACCAACATGGGAGAAAGGAGCAACGACCAAGACCTACTGGTCTTCGATGATCCCGAAAGCGATGGAGGAAGTTCGTTTCAAATCGTGGACGAGATCGTCGAGGATGAACAAAGAGCCGAAGATGAAAGAAGAAAGCAAGAGCTGCAAGTAGAAGTCCTCCAGGCACAACAGGCGATTGGTGACCTCGAGATGCTGATAGAAGAGCTAGAACAAAAGCCCACGTGTGCGCCAAGGAAAATCCTGCAGGGCGGAATTCGACGAGACAGTGAACGATTTATAAGATGTGCCTTTTGTAAAGTCGCCATGCAACATTATTCGGATTCCTGCCCTGAAGTACAAAACAGCACCACACGAATCAGCATGCTTGATGCCCAAAGAAAGTGCCACATCTGCTTCCAAGTACTGAAGATCGTCTGCCCGGGGGGAAGAGACTGTTACAAATGGCCAACGCCTTGCTTCCATTGCAAGCGATATGGCCACAACTCGGCCGTCTGTGACCTCTCAGACAAAAGTCTGATAATACGCTCAAGACTCCAACGTGCCCGGGGCGCACTCCATACAACGCAAACCAAATTGGCGCGCCTCCAACAAGAATTGAAAAGGCTCGCGGAACATCATCAAGGTGGGGCGGAGTATCGCTGCTTGGAAGCGCGATCTCTTGCTTATTACAGTAACCCATGTATCTTCCTATCTTGTAAGCTGATCTTTACAGAGAGCGCCGGCGACTATCAACAACAAGTATAAAATGCAACTGTCACGCGGCAAGGAATCTTCGTCGCCCCGATGGGAATCGTCTTCTTTTCCCACTTTATTCACTCATGAGCCCGCAAGCTTTATACGCGTTTTGATCATTTGACTTTGCTTTTGTAGCGCCTAGGTAAATCGCTTGGACATCAGATTATGATTGAATCATCGCATAATGTGTTTATTTGCAAAGTAAAGATCACGGTTTAATTACCCAAGTTTGAGGCCTCGTCCTCGTGGCAATAAATCGGTTTTGGTGTATGGTGTTGGTTGGTGTGGCAAGAAAGCTGAACCACTAAATAGGCAATGAAAAAAAGGAGATATTCAGACGTGAATAGTTTTCTTTCTTCGAAATTTTCAAAGTTTTTCAATTTGAGTGTTAAGATAATTTTTCCTCGATGTGATTGAAGTTGTCCTCAATAGCTTTTTCCGTACATCATGAGATACACATTGAAATATTAGATGAGACCTCTTTATGTTCTCTGAAGTTTTACCAAAATATGCGCAAAAGTATTCAGCTTCATACAGTGGACCCATTATTGGTTAGAACATTGGAATATACCAGTTCCTCCAGTTTTGTGCAGTTGCACAAACCAAGTCTGCATTACGTTCGTAGAATTAACTACAGCGCAACATTTTCAGAGGATATTGCTTGTAGCTGAATGAAGATTGTTTCAGAAAACAACTCTTTTTGTAATCAACACACTAAAAAAACCATGTATCATCAGAAAAATCCTCGGTCTTTCAAACATAGTGGAATATCCAAATCGATAGTCCATTCAAAAGCAATGACTGCATTTTTATTTGGCAAAGAGTGCGAGCTGACTACAAACAATAGAATCAAATTTTTTTTGAATTTTATTCAGACTGTATTTTTTGAACGAAGGATATCCCAAAACTGTCTAGAACGTTCTACGTCACCCATCCTCATTTTTTCCTAGAAAATGGTAATGATTCCTTTACAGATTTCAGCTGAATTCAGGAACGATCATTGCATAGAATTTTCTAGATTGGATCTGGACGTTGAAGAAACATAGATAGCTTTCATAATTTGCAAATTAGTCGTGAATTACCGCACATGATGTTAGGATCATTTTCGCTGAAGTTCTCATACTTATAACCCATAAGCTACATATCGTAGTTTTTGCAGTGGAAGCGTTCTATACGTATAATTTTCTTTGCTGAAACGTACTGTGCTTACTTTACTTTGTATAATTTGGTTTACATTTTCATGTTGTCTATGTCGAACATCGGCTAATGCTTCCAAAACGCACTATTTGAAAAAAAAATTGAGAAAGGAAACATCAGAAGATGAACGAGATCATGTTTGTTTTATTTAATCAAAGTCTTGAAATTGGTTGCACGACCGCAAGTCAATTTTTAAACGGAAGTTATTTGGAAAAATCCGACTATCAGGGTTTTATTTTTTGCTGTCCATCTTTCTCAACGTGAGTTTGTCTACACATATTTTGCTGCACCGCTGCGATTATCCATAAGCATGAATTTCTTTGAACCGACCAAAGAATGGAAAAAATATTTCGTACTAGGCAACGAAAAAAATTCCCATTTCTTTAACGCTCAAAATTTGCCACAATATCAAATTAAACACAGTTTGTTGTGCTCATTTCAGCATCTGCATTTTCCTCTCCATTTTCTAAGCAATCGCATTATTCATATGCTGTATAGCCTATGTTGTTACTCGGGCCAAATCATACCATGCCTTATTATATTACACGTCCCAAAAAAATTCCACATGTCGCTTAACTATTTTATGTAGAGTATGTATTTCATGTAACTTCAGAATTACTAATGTCATCCAATACTTTGTTAACTATGTAATTTCTGCTCACCACGCTATTTATTATTATCATGTTCTACAACAAAAGCCGTTTTCCTCACCCAATTTCCACTTATTCATCAATAACCTGTTACATTATACTCCTATAAATCTCCACACCAACTAATCCCATCTGTCAATTTCCGGGATATAATACGCCTGTTTACTTCCTACAAGTACATGTTACTGGCTCTGCCAAGCAGTCCCTACGTCACAACATTCATTCCGTGTATATCTCTCCGCTTGAGGACAAGCTCACTCTGTACCCCTAGGATGAGGTGAATGTCGCTGTTGGGTTATCCAATCGGCCTAAACCATCTCCTCCACTCAATCAGTCTGAAGATAATGTACCGAAATCAAAGTTCTCTATGGTCTCGCCGCAACACGTGTAGTCCTTACGCACATAACTCGGAAGACGTTCAACAATAGCCGAACAAGCTCAAGGAGGGCTTTTTGAAGGAATGGAGATGTCGGGACGCAGCTAAGCTCCGCCTGCTGCTCTCCCGTGAGCTGGCCGAGGAGGTCAGATAGGAGCCAGTGACCGTCTACGACCACGCCCCGTAAGGCTGCTTAGTCAGTCTTCCCCCTTCCCCTCTATTGTAATATATGTAGACGCTAGTAATAAATATATAATACCAACCTGTACCGCTACACATCAAGCTAGGGCTCGTACACCCATAGACTTGACAGTTATGATAGTTGAGCGGTGTAAGGGAAGAATTATATATTAGTACAGATTCTTCTAAATTTTGGCATAGTGGGGTCGTCCGACATGCTCATCACGAGAATGAGACGAGTTGCATGGTAAGTCCCTTTCGTAAGAATACGGTAGGTTTGCAGTATCGGCATTTATTTAGCAAATGATTATGATTATAGGTTTCTGTTAGCTCAAATAACCTCACTATGCAAAGTTTCCGAAACTGAAGCTTTGCTGAAGATTTTGCTGATTGCTTAGTTCTTCGGTTCTTTCTCAGATCTCGCCTACAGTGACTCGTTCAATTTCGTGACCGTCAGATCTTCACTTGTCTTTGAAGTTTATTTCTTTCATGCTGTGCTGAGTCAGTCAACTTCAGCAACAAGTCTTGCACATTTTCGTACCGTTAGTGTATAGTCTACGTTGCTAATGGCTTTTTTGCACATAACCTCGCAATTTCTCGAATTTCCTATTTTCCAGATGCACAATTCTTCTTTATTTGTCACAGCGAGAATTTGTGTCAATTTGTGGACCACACTATAATCTATACAATGCTCTAAAGTGAGCGTGCCAATTTCTAAAAAAGTTACAGAATCAGTTGCGAAAACCTACTAAACACCTAACTCATTTCAATAACTTTCTCAAAGAGAAGTGGTTTGTGACCCACAAGCATTTCTTATGAAGCTTGAATTTGTCAACGTTGTGTAAAAGTAATTAAGCAAACTTAGCGAGCAAAAATTGCGCAAATCCTCGGAATCATCACTTTTGTAATTTCTGAACTATGGCAGCATCTCAAAGGTAGCACATTGTCAAATAAAACCCTTCCATGGTCCTCTCAGGACTAATGAGAACTGTGAAACATATAAAGATAGACTTAATATCGAATATTAGCAATCAATCCTGTGTTTTTTACAATTTTATGTACAATTAAGCATACAATATACGACATTATTAAAATAATCACAGTATTATAATTCTTCAATCTCGATGTTGTAACGCAGCTGCTTGGCTGAGAACCAAGAGTAGTAGTTGTCAAATTCAATAATATCTGTAAATACAGTATAAATGAAGGCGATTGTAAATTCCGGAATGACAAGATGAGTACAAAGACCGACTCACAATTTCCAGCCTTTTCTGCTACATAGTGACCGGATATAGGAACATTCGTACATTCGAGACGGATGTAGGGGAAGACAATCTCCATCTCGGTCAAATTATTTGCCTAAATGACGTTTTTGCGGATAGTACAGTGGAAAATTACAACACACCTGGAATGAGGGGTCAAAGTGAATCGCGAAGCCGATGTCGTCGTCATCGGTCATGTACTGCCAGCTAAATCGTAACACATTCATCTTCCTTCTTCAAATGAATTCAAAAATCTACCATATTCGGCTTTTTTCCTTGATCCGGATTGATATGAGGTGTTTGTCACCAGCATAGACAGTTGTCAACTGATCGTAATCTGGCATTGCTGTTTTAGGATCTACGAAGTAGTCCGAGGGTACGGGGCCCATGCCATAGCTGAAAGCAACAGTGGTTTCTTTCAAACAATAGAGCTATTGACAGCAAATAATCTGGCCATCTAACTCCGTATGGACACGCTTAGTTTTCTTACGATTCCAACTAAAATTACTGTCCTTTTTACACGAAAAATAACAGATGTCAAAAGATTTGGATAAAAAAGAAACCATGTTTTCTCTAATGATAGACTCTAGCAATGTTCCATTCACAGAATGTGGTAAGGGTGAGCCTATTTTCCAGTATCTGCAATATGTCTCCTAGACATGTTGTTGAAATAAAACATCATTTCACAACGTTACGGAAATACAGAATGTGCAATGTAGGCGATATAGGGACCAAAGATTAAAATTTTCTCATGCGTGCTGGACTTTTCTCTGTAAGAGCGTGGAGGAATAGCATTTTTTTAATCAGAATTGAAGAGAAAGAAATAGTTCTCCAAAATCGATTCCCCTGATATTAGGGCATGGGGAAGGAATGGGATTGTAATGGGAGAATTCGGAATTGTAGCTTTTTCAAGAAAGAGACTTTACTAAACACTTAAAATTTTATAGATGTTAGAAAAAATCATACTCGCGTAAGAATGTTTATAACGGCGGAAACGCGAAGTTGATATTGTGAGCTAAACTTTCAGTAATATCTTCGAAGTAAAACACGTGAGATCACCCAAAACTCAAAGCCAGTGCCACACTTGGGTGCTTGAGACTGTCATCAAACACATCAGGGAAGCCTGCAGTGAACTTTCGTGCAAATTACCTCATTTTCTTCCACAGAAAATTGAAGGCTAAAACATGACTTTTTGAGTTCAAGTTTTTTGATAAATTTTGAAAAAAAATCAGAAGTTTTCGCACTGTGGTAGACCAAGAGCTTGAAGAGCTCTTTCAAACGGCATGCTATTTGCTCAATACTTCAAGGTATACCAGCGCAACTAGATATCCAAGAAACTCGTTTCGACTTTTTTCGAGGCGCTTCAAGAATGCTGGAGGAAAGCATCACATTTTGGTCACCAACGTTAAGATTTTCTCTTATTAGAAAGGATTTCCGTGTATAGGAATACAGTTTCGTTGCGCACGTAGCATAAACACTTCAGCATCATAAAAAATTAGGTGGAATGTGGCTATCTGACGCTTACCGAATAGTAGCGGGGCACTTAGGATCTCCATTCTCGGATCTATTTCCTCCCCAGTGAATAGGCCACCCATCCAGATTTACATATTGAGCTAATGCCCATTTCCAGTCTGCCTGGAAAGAGGTAGTCCTCAGCCAAAGCAAAAGTAATTCTAATGGAAATGTAAAGCTTTGCCGGAGTAAAAATCTCGTAACCCACCTCAGAAGGCATCTCAATGAGCCGCGTAATCGGATCACTAAGTATGGCCGTGATCGAAGCGTAAGCGATACGCGCCATTTCTGGTGCTCTAAACGTCATCTCAAGGCTTAGAAACTGCTGATTTTGCTTGACAGTTACCTGATAATCAGAATCTTCTTGAGTACAAGTGGATAATGTTCCTGGAATAGTGTGACGAGAGTGGTGAATGAACTGGCGAATTGTTTGCATGAGAAGTGTGCAGAGCCGATGTGATCAAGGTCGAACACAAGCATCATTTGCTCGAATGGTCGTCCTGTCTGAAAATGAGAGGTAGGAGCGATTTTGAAACCAAAATAGAATATCTACCTTGAAACTGCAAGAAACGACTCAAAAGTAAACTATTATTTGTCAAAGTCGATTTCGCTCGACTTAAGTAAAATGACGGTGCACGAGCATTTTTTGGGGGACGGTACGGAAAATGACCCCCCCCCCCCCCAGACTCAGCTATTAGATATGTGAATCATTGATGACCTCAGTTTTCTTATAAACTGAAGTTCATATCATTACGGCTGCAAAATACCAAAATAAATCAACATTCAGATTATCACAAACTATGTCGTGACTGTCCGAGTATGCTTGCATTCACTCCCAAATCAGAAATATTAACATGTCTACGATTAGTCACAGCATTTGATATTACAGCGCGGCAACATCAAGTATTCCAAGATATACACTCTACATATGGATAGAAAGATTTCGTTCTTCAAACCCGCATATTAGCTCCAAAAAAAGTTGTAGCGCTAAGATGCATTTCTTCTATTGATTGCTAGAAAATAACATGCTATGTAGGTGGGAGAGATTCCGCACCTTCGCGTTCCTAAGAAATGCTACGCGTTCAATAAAGCTGTTCAACATCGAAAACTCCAAGAGGTATAAAGCATGAGGTCTACTCTTTGGATATTTTACACGAACACATCGTAATTTCCAAACCAAACCGAAAAAGCTACGTTTGTAGCAAAATCACGAGCAAAATTTTTTCTTCTTTCCATGTTCTTTCAGTAGCATAAATTTTTTCAGAACCCTGGAGAAGATAGCCAAACAATCTACGCATGACCCCTCTCTTCCGCTGACTGCGAATTTGCGTTAGAAGGTTTTTCTTCTACTAGGTCTGCCCTTACGGGAATTTTGAAATACCAAGCTGCAATAGTGAGACCATTAGTTGTGGGAATGATCGCATCTGACAAGAAAGCTCAATGATTGCCTCTTGAAAAGGTCATAATCAAACGCTTTTTGACTTTTGTTTCGCATTTCAGCAAAACATGAAAGTCATGTGGAGGGGAAGAAACAATAACAAATAAACGAAAAACCCAACAAACCTGTTTTGCTTTTTGATTACACAGCTGAAGTCCCTTCTCAATTGCAGCCAGAGAGAATTTGATGTAGTCCAACGATGCAACTGATTTCAGCATGCCTATAACATCGTAATCGTAGCTTTGATAAAAACTGTTCATTCGTTCATTTTCGTAAAGAAGTCTGTTTGTGAGCGCGTTTTTTGTTTTCCGTAGTTCTAACACATAGATAAAGCAAAGCTTTATAAAGCACTCAGCAACTATCATTTAGAGGTAAACCGCTTCAAAAACTCAAGAAAACAAAACTGAAGAAAAGGAGATGAGTTGTTGCTTAACGGAGCGGAACCTTCGGTCACTCTTTCATTCGCTATCTCGATCAGTGTGTAGCGTCGTGGACGTTGAGAAGAGGAAGCTCGGTGCTACGGTAATTAACAAGGTTAATTTCTTCCCACATCACAGATCTGGTTGCTAGTTGTCTCATTTTGACAAACTTGACGATACCCCTAACTCAAAATTCTTGTAACGATACGATACTTGAATTTCGTTCGTCATTTCAACATAAGAAAGACAGATGATTTCATTGTCAGTTGCGCACATCATTTTCTGATATTTATTAGAAGTTGATCAACAAGGTTGTCAAACAAGGCCATTAAAAATGAAACAGCCTCCATACAATATACCATAGAAAATGCTAACATAGGTGCTAACACATACGGTAGCATGATTGAGCATACGTCATCATGCCATGTTTACATGCTGTTTCACACTGCAAAATTTTCTGTAAAATTGTTCGGACGAGATGCTTTTGTTAAGGGCTATTGAGTTTATGCTTGATGGAAGTATATTTTCTAGAAGACTGATAGTGCAAAAGAGCATACAATATCGTTGTTCTTCTAAACAAAGACTCCATTTTGTTTAGGACGAAGAACTTCTTACTACGTCAAAGATGTCGATAAAATTTCTCTCCATTTCCTCTGATGGATTTCAAAACTTTCAATCTTTTTAAGTCTCCGTAGCGTACGTCTTCTAACGGATAAGCTCCTGGTTCTACAAAAACTCAAATGAGTGATAGCGAAAGGATGATTGATAGCAAAGATTACAGAACAGCGTATCATGTGTTTAGGCTGTGACTATCTTGACTTTGCACGAGTGAAAGTCAGTTTTTAACTGAAATTTGATTTTGACTGGTACCTCAGCACATCAGCCTTTCCAATAAATAGCTTTTCCTTTGAATGTTCTGCAAAAAAGCAGGGCTGGCCACGAGCTGGCATCAGGGAAATTTAAAACGAATCACCTTTGATTTTGAAAATTTCGTACGAAGTCCCCTTTGTCCCTAAACCCTAAACATGAAAAAAAAACGTAAAAAACAGAGTCGACTAGAAAAAAGGTCGCAGCTTTTGGTATTTTCGGCCACAAAAACGATTTCCTTTGCTTTTTGTCCCAAAAACGATATCCAGTTCAACCCGTGCCAGCTGGTGCAAGGCCCTGATCCAGCACCATGTTATACTTTTACCAGTGAACAGCGTTAGCTGGTGTTCCGGAGTTTTTTCTGCTAAGTCATGGGTTACTCATTTCTTTCCAAAACTTAAAATGATTGCTCGTTGATACTAAATAAGTAGTCCAAAATCCCCACCTATGCCTTTGCTAGAAAACATGTTTCAAAATCAACAGAACTCAAGACTGGAACCTCTAATCCTAAAAACTTCTCCGAATACCATCCGCTTTTCACATATTAACCCCTATTCCTTTACCCAGCGCGAACTTTTGCAAGCATGCAACATAGTAGTGTATTCGATGTGGAGATATACAGGAGAACTTGTCTGTCGCTGAGGGAACTAGTTCTGAAGCAGTAAGATGATATATGCGCCAGTGTAGTTGCTACATTTATTGGAAAAAGAAAAGCAGCAGAATGTGGCTTTCAGGGAAACAAAGATTGCAATGATCAATTGAAGTTTGTTGTTATTTGTCTTTATGATTCTGGTTACATTCAATGTCATTCTTTGATTTAACAGGGATGAGGCGCAACCGACATCATAATAGAGAAGAAACAAAGAGATTCACTGACAATCATTTCAAGAAAGTTCATCTTTGTAAATTAAGGGAAACTCCAATACTCTATGTGCAGTTTTGGACATTCAGTGAAAAAATAGGTCTTCACTTATACTTCCACTCAAGATTCTTCAGCAAAATGTAATTCCAACATTTCTACTAAGACTTTGATCGTATCGTAGTTTACTGCGTCCCTTTCGCAGTCTAGACTAAGTGGGGAGGGGGGGGGGGGACTCCAAAGAATGCACAGTTTTCTTGCCTCTACACCAACCCACTAATCATTCTTCTTTTTCCTGAACGGCACTCATCTCTAAGATTCAGGATAATTTGAAAACACGGTTGGTGGCCTCGTGGCTAGTCACAAGGCCAATTTTGCATGGCTCACATGATCGCTGAAGTTGAATGAAGTGACATTGAGACCAACTGAGCGATAATATCTCCTTGATGTTACGTGCCGTAACGCTCAGCGAATGAAGAAGGCCATAAGTCGCGTTAGTGTCAAAGAAGTGATAAAGTCCACGAAGTAGATTGCGGAAGTTAAAAACCATCATTTTTGCCTACATCTAGCCCCTTCTGACATGTATTTGCATTCTTTTATCTCGCATCATCTCTCCCAACAGCAAAACCGCATTCCTGTAATTTTACAACCTCCGATCGAAGTTCTCGACTTGCTTTGACCAAACATCGTCTCGGCACATGAGACGAGGAATAAAATCACGGACGATGAATGGTTGATGCATCGTCGAGAAGGGAACGATCGAAGGTGTGACTATGAGAGAACGCGCAGTTAGGACATGACGGATAGTTGCTACTCGTCCCCACTCACCTTCCACGTCCAAATTGCCGAGCAGCGACATCAGAATCGGTCGTCCATCCTTGTCCGAGAGGAAGCCATAGCCGCAGTACTTTTCTAGACACTGAAATAAGCACGTCGGTATAGTTTTATTGAAGTTTCCAAGCAGGGCTCGGCACGAGCTTGCACCAGAGAATATCAGAACGAAGTCTTCTTTGACTTTCGCTAAGTCTTACAAAGTCCTCTTTGACCCTAAACGCTGAACGTAAAAAACCCTGCAAAAATAAACGTCAACTAAAAAAACGTCGCAATTTTCAGCCACAAAAACAATATGCCCTTTGCTTTTTTTCCCAAAAACGATATCCAGCTTGCCCCGTGCCAGCTGGTGCCAAGCCCTGTTTTCAAGGGAACAATGACAAGGTGAAAACAATATAAAGTTAGAATGTATCGCAAGAATTCATAAACTTTACCATCTGAGGAAGTTTTCAGAGATATAGGTGAAATGTGCTTGTAATGGGGTTTATTACTGTACTTGTAACAATAATGTAACGAAAAACATACTTATCAACTAGAGTTTTTCAACACTTCTTTTGAAACAAAAAAAAGCATCTCTATCCGAGCGAGACTACAACTATAGCTTTACATAGTTCTGACGTATCCTCAGAGGAGCAAAATTCCTTCTTCTATACCTGTTTACTTCCTGCTCCTCTTGCAAAACATTATAAATACAAAAGCTAGCAGAAAATTTGTGTTCCTATCTATAGGTGCACTTGCGCTGGTTACTATAGAAGGAGCAAATAATTATCTATCTTTGTCTGCTGGTGAACTCAGAAAGTGAAGAAGATGAGGTAAGGTGGGGCTATAGAAAGTAAAACATGCTTGAATTAAACATATTCTGTTGACGTACATTCACTGATTAATCCAAAGTATAGAAAGGATAGATGCAATAAAATGCGCTTGTTCCCATTTCGTTTAGCTTTAAATATTGTTAACTGATTGGAAAATATTCAGACACACATACTTTGCAAGTTCAAAAAAAACCAGCAAAAAGTACAAACATGATCTGATAATGTACATCTATTGATTTGCCCGAAATGATGCAAAGCGTTGACGATTATCTTTCTGTAGAAGATCTTACAATGTCTTATTTTATTAGATAAACGACTTCTGCATAGATAAATGATAGTTCAACAGGATGTTCATAGATAGCGATAAATATGAAGCTCCCTTCCAGAAAAAAAAAACAGGATAAAATTAACATTTATCACTGTTATTGAACATTTCGGAAAAAACAAGTAGACCGCTTCCACCAAGGATTTACCTGGGCACTCCATGCTTAGCTGATATGTGCCTATGATCTTTGGCAGTGATTTCTGCAATTTAGCGCAGGACGTGAACACTAAGAAAAACAAAACAGAAAAACAGTATGTTACGGTTCCGTTATCCTTTTTTATACACATCAATGGCATATAGCTTTTAGGCTAAATCTACACGAATCGATCTATCTCACATTTGTTTTACGATCCGATATCTGCATGGATTTGTCCACAGCACTGAAACACTTCTACAATGCCTAGCGAGATGTCATCGGAGACATTGTGACGCTGCGATAGCATCTACTCGGCCAAAAAACCGTCAACAGTCGAAGTTGAAGAAATTTGACGAGAGACCCAACCCGCGGTAGTTTTTCGACATTTTGAAGACGTGATATTTTGATTAATGACTTTCTATAATTTCCATGACGTTTTGTTTTCACACATCCAGTGTCAGCAGCGACCTTGGCATGATCGGTATAAGCAGGTTCCGTTGTGACTCATTCACTTTAGAAAATCGGACGATTTTTGCGCAAACAAAAACAGGTAGTTGAGTTGTTGTAAGACATTGAAAATACTTGCAGCTAATTTGTGCTTTAGAACAGCTACAGAACTTGTCAAGAAGAATTATTGCATCAGCGGCAACCTATCAGACAAAAACAAAATTTTGAAAATGTTGTTATCTTGTACCATAACAGTAAAAATTGGGTGCTGCGAGTCTTGGAAGACTTCAACATTTTCTTCCGACAATTACAACAGCGCAGAGATAGGTTCCAGCAATATCTACAAAGCCGTTGACAGACTTTGAAACTTGTAAATCAGTATATTAGTGAATTGGTAAAGTAACCTGTAAATTAGTAGTCAATTAAAACCCTAGCGCAGATAGATGAGATTCTAAAGAGGTTGCAAAATTTACATGACAAATCCACACATTCGACATAATTGAAATTGTCTAGACAGTTCTAAAGTAATAATTTGATTATGGACGACGTGTCATTCAACAAAGAAAGTCGTAGAAAGTTTACACTCAACAGGTTTCCAGATTACAAGATGCCTGGAGAAGTGCAGGGTTAGTTAAGAATGCATATTGATCAAATATGAATGAGAAAGTAAATCAATCTAATTGTGAGTCGAATGAGTCCAGAGAAGTACGGACATATCTGGTTAGATTATACAGGGTGTCCCAAAAAATGTGAACACTGTTTGATCGTTAATAACTCTCTTGTCATGAAGTCCTTCGAGAAGATTGAGGCACTATTCTGTAGAGCGAGGTTCAATTTAGACTAAAGGTATGGAGCGAACCGTTAATCACGCTTCATAATGTACGATTACGGTATGAACTTTCAGCATACAGCGCCACTGTGGGAATAGGCTGACGAAAAAAATTCCAGAAAATCTGGAATTTCTTGTAGCGAGGTTTTCGGACGTGCCAATTTCACTACACAACTTCCTACCAGTTTTTAGACCCTTCATATTTGGAATCAGCGACATCGACTAATCGAGTACAAGAGTTTTTGGCTTGTTCGGTTTTCCTTCTGAGACAAAAACCGCTTCTATTAGGTTGTCCCAAAAGTAAACTCCTCTTTCAAATAATTTAAACTGTTTCTGTTTTCCCAGCAAACTTAGGGTATCATTCGATAGAGCCAATCAAGCTCTACAAAACGACCACCAAGGATTCGCCCAAGTCGCATTCCATCGAAAGTTTGAAGCCAAAATCGGAAAAAATTTTGTCACCTAAAAATTGGATTTCTGCGATAAAGAATTCTACAGAACTCCAACTTGTCATTATACAGTAGGCACATAGTAGTAGTCAAATATACCTTTACCGAATTTTTTCCGAGCATAGAAAGCGAGAAACAAAAAAATGTCCAAAAATGGCAAACTCCGCCCCCAGCCCCTCCCACATATGTCATTGTATACTACAAGCCTTCTAAGTATCTTTTAAAAACTTACCCCTGTATGTGCTCTTACATTCGAGAAATACCAAGTCTTACATTAAAAACCCGAAAAAAGTGGCATTTTGGCACTTTTAGACCATCTTTTTATTCAATTTTAAGCCCGGAAAAAATCCGCCAAATACATTTTTGGGTACTACTATACTACTACTCTTTTTGTCTACTATATAAAGATTAGGTTGGAAGTCTGTACGAATTCTCTGGAAGGAGATCCGATTTTCAGGGTAGCTGAAAAATTTTGATTTTTGGCCCCAAATTTTACCTGTATCATGACTTAGGTGGATCTTTGGTGGTCTTTTTGTAGAGCTTGCTTCGCTCTATCGAATGGTACTTCAAGTCCGTTAGGAGAACAAGAACAGCTTAATTAATTTGAAAATAGAGTTTGCTTTTGGGACAACCTAATAATTCCCAATAATCTTCCGCAAAGTCCCTAGCGTAATCCTACGGTAGAAAAAGTGATAGATGATTCGCTCCATACTGGAAATCTAAGTTGAAGCCAGATTACAAAATGATACCTCAAGCTTTTCGAAAGACTCCATGACAAGAGAGTTATTTACGATCAAACAGTGTTCACATTTTTTGGGACACCCTGTATAGGCTGGTGCATTAGCACTTGACGGGCTTTGGAAGACATCTACAGAAAGTCCCAAAAATGGAGAGAGTGTGGTCGACAATAACTCTTTTGTCTCGACGATTTTCGTGCACCTTCAAAACTATTTTAGAGTGGCTCCACCTGGTTGCGGTATGCAATGAAATACCAACGCTCTTCATTACTGTGAGATTACATTAAATTACAGGCACACTGTCTTTTGTAGGAGTTCGTCATTTCCTCAAAAAAACTTTCAAAAACTCAAAAAAACTCCGTAACATCGTTTTCGTATATGTTTAGCAAAAACATGCTTAATAAGGCTGTGCAAATCTGTATGTTTCATCTGAAGTATGGAGTATCAGTAGTAGTAGCGAATATATCCGGTATGGTTTTGAATTCCTCAGCAAAATTACTTTGAACTAGATATTTGATATCAGTAAGTCTATCTGACACACTGATAAAGGCGGAGCACTTGCGGTATGATTTGGTTTCTAGTGCACAAAACTTTCTAACAGACCTACAAAATGGCACCTTAATATCCACGGAAGGTGCTGGGGCTATAGTTAACGATAGCGATGTTAGAATAGAAAAGCAATTAACATTTAAGACATAGAACACTTAGGGTAATCGACTGAGGGCAACGATAGAAATAACATTTACGAAGAACGTGGAGATTCTCCTGCATTTTTGTGGAAGATACAAATAGATTTGAAATTCTATAACTAATGTATAAAAAGCATTTCCGTTGTTTTAAATTTCTCTTTATTAGTTTACCAAGCGCCACATCTTCCCTTCGCGATTAGCAATTAGCTGTCTGGAACAGCGCTTGACACTGATAGGAGTCCGTGAAACTCGCCATAAGCTCGTCAGCCATCTGGTCTGACTAGTTCTTTCAGAGCTTACACAGTCAACGGGGTCAAAAACGAGATGCGTGAGAAACCCGCCGCCACCCGTGCATGCGCCCCCCGCGCGCACCTCTTCATGCGTTCTCTTCGCCAGCGCTAGGACCAGCACGACCTTCATCGCTCGAACGGGATGAAATCAAAAACGGTGCGACAAAATCTGATAGGTAGACGCATATCTTGAGTGACACTTCGACCATCAGGGGATCGTCATTGTTTCGAATAATCTTTGTCTGGGATTTGCTAAAGCTTGAAATGTTTGATGCAGCAGTCTGCAGTCTGCTTGCAGCTTTTTTCCACCTTCACACAAATTTGTAAATGTTTAATTGTGACACCTTTTTGCGTGAAAGGCATCAATGATATATAGCTTTCTCAGAAAACGTTGGGAAACTGAATACAAGTTGACGTTCTTTGTGATTTGAGGTTTCGTAAAAAATTCATTTTTCTAGCATTTCCTTCTAAGCTGCTTTAGCTTTAAAGGCATAGTTAAATTACTACTGGGAAATTGAAAATATAACTTTTTTCTTGTGAAGATATATTGTTGTTTGTTTTGTTTTCTGTGAAGATATAAATACGAAATACGAAATATGCTTGTTAATCTTTTCACTGGTGACATAAAGCAGAAAATTATTTGATTGGGCAGCGAAAACCAAAAAGGAGAAACCATTATTTATTTTATTCGATCCATGCGCGACTCCCAAACGTCCTTAAAAAACAATAACGGCACAGAGGGAGAATACTGTAACCTCAGAAATACAGAAAAACAGTTTCAAATAAGACTGTCTTGAAGTTCCCGACAAACTTCGCGGATCAAAATTTATGGAAATTCTCGAACAAATTTCGATTTTCTGCGATTATTCGAAATTTGAAGATGAGTGTCATAATTTTCGTGGATTCGTCAGATAACGAAGGTCTCGAGCGAAACATGGAACAAGGAACGATTTGCGGAGAGGTGACCTCCACGTAGGAATCATCGCAAATTCGCATACTAATTTGTAGCAAATGTTGCTTATAATTCGTCGGATGAAGAAATGGAATAGGAAGTAGGCTGTGATTTCAATGCGTTAAGTTCCATTGGAAAATCAAGCACATGAGTAATTGAAAAAGTAAAATCAAATAATGGGCTGAAAGTGATAACATGATTTCCTTAGACATAAAGCCTACCTCGGGTGCTTCCCAAGAATCAATCGAATCGAGTTCCCATGCTTTTCGAAAAGTCACATGCTTTTTCAAAGCTTCGGCCGTCTCATCAAAACGTAAGTCTTTAGCACGAAGCCATCGTAATATGTATGAATCTTCAAGACATTCGATTTGCGGGAGTATTGTCCTAAAAAGAAATTTCACTTTCCATTGAAGGCTTTTTGTGTTTGTTGCTTCAAGCATCATCAGTTCTGATTGTAAGAAAAAACGCGATTTCAGTTTTTGGAGAAGGGATATTGGACAGCCGAGTGATAACGAAAGTGGTTCAGGTAGTTTCCCTAACAGTGGTTTGAAAAAGAAGATTTACGTTTTTCGGCTTCTCATCAGAGAATATCCCTAGAAGACCTAATGTTACGTAAAAATATAAAATTTTACAAGCAAAAATAGCCTTAATATTGAGAGGCGGTCATCGCGAATATCTTATACGCTTTCACCGCGGTACCATATCCGCACTTACGGTAGGTGTACGGTACGCGGCAAACTAAAGTCGGTTGCGAGTTTCATTATTATTGAGCGTTGGACGAAGATTATCTTTTGCTTTTTATTTTGTGAAACGCTCAAGGTAGTTGAGTGATGCAATTTCTCTCTCACTTGTTTTCGATCAATATTTTTATCCAAATGAAAATAAACACCATTATATGGCACTATAACTCCGGAAGCATTCTCCAAGGAAAAGAAGAAGTTGCTCTTATTACGAAGAAATGACATTCTCAGACAAATGCGGGGGGTATGCGGCCACTGGAAGAAAATAGACCACTGATTTTTCAAACTCTGCTCACAGTATCTTGGACGAACTGACAGCCAGCTTTTACAAGGCCGTTTGTTGATTTTTTCCGAAAAGCATTAATCTGGCTACAAATCAGAGCGAAAAATGGATCAACAACCGACATCAGGATAGTACGCCTTGAACTTCTTCGAGCGAAGTGCGAAAGGTTAACAACGCAGATTTTTCGGCCACCGCCTAGCCGGCGATTGTCTCAGTCTGTGACGGTGGGACAGTCCCCCAGCCAAACCGAGCAGTACCGTAGACAAGCCTTACCTGAGGTCTGCGATCGCTTGTTGTTCCTCGGCGGAGATGGGCCTGGTCGGCGACAGCGTGGCGTGCATTACTGCCATGCGCGGGGGCTGACCCGGCGTCGTCGTCGCGTCGACGTCGGTTGTCGTGCCGATTCGCGCGGTGTCCGGCGCTTCCGCGCTGCGGACGCTCTCTCCGTCGCGCGCGCGCCTTCGACTCCCTACCGTACGCACTATTCGGCTGCGCGCTGGCACTGTTCATGTCTATATCTCCGTCGTTTTTCGCTCGTCAACGTAGCCTTGATCCAACTCGTTTCAATAAATGCAGCGCCCGGGCTTTCGCGATCCTCTCGGAAGGTGAGATTCGAAAACAAGCAGAAGGAAAACCTTTTCCATCATATGGGTGTCACTTCGCAATTCTAAAAAGGTTTCCGTCTTCTAGTCGATCTCAGAAGCTCAAAAACCTCTAAGCTATCTCAGCAAGAAATTCCCAGTAATCTTGAAAGCTATCGACTCCAGCAGTCCCGGCTAGATTTCTGCCTGCTTTTGTTTTCTGAGGCTAAAAAAGCAGCAGCCCCACATCATTCGTCGTGCTTCTTGCTTAGTGCGAGGAAACACTACAGCAACGATGTATCAAGCTTTATCTCGTACAGAAGCTGGAGCAGAAAACGTATACTTTGAAGGTGATGCCTTCGTCATACCCTCGAAGAAGTATTCTTTTTGAGAACAAATCGATTCACACTCGAAATTAGAGCAAGTTGTTGTCGAGTTGTTTGGTGTATCGATCAACAGGAACGTCACGCATTCGCCACACTTCAAAGATCTTTACAGAAGCGTTTATGGCAAAGATGTTGCGTTAGAACTTGAAGTGATTATTTCCGACCTTTTACTGGGATTCGGGAATTTATAGGTCACGTCGTTTTCCTGATGTTAGGTAAACAGATTTTCAAGAAATTGTAGTTCTGCTTACCTTGCATTCTGGGCACCTGTTTGGTGTAGCTAATAAACACATGGAAATTAAGAAGCAGGTAAGTGGACTTGGCGTATTATATATTATCATCTTTCTTCCAATATAATCGATCTGAAAAAAATTGTTCCCACATGTCGTTAAAAGCGAAATCATAAGCAGTCTTCATTATATTTTCTTTGGAATCTACAGCGCTAAGCTTTACTGTCTTTATCAACCCAGTAGATGTTCTCATTGTGATACAGAATGAGTGACTAAGAAGGTGGTCTCTCCGTTCCCTAATTTTTCAGTTTTGCGCAGATGACGACATTTGTTACACAAAAGCTTGACTACCAGACAATATAAGGAAGGTAATTTTATAAATCTCCGTTTTGTTCCTTCCTTTAGGCGGAGTTATAAGATCTATCACTTCTCTCCTCACCCTTCCCGCAAACGATCGGCTAGCTCTTAGCTCTGACCTATATTATCTACCAAGGATAGGACTAAGAAGACAAGGTGGAAGAAACCGTGGCTGGTCCACTGCGTCTACTCGGTCGAGAAGTCATGGACAGCGCAACGTCACGAATGCAGTGGTTGGCACGAGCAAGAATATTCTTGTCATCGAAGACGATCGAAGTCGAAATCGCCCAACTCAATTCATAAACGGAATCATCGCGGTAATAATCATAACTTATAATAACGGGCTAAGGGTTGTTTGCGTGTTTTTGTGTGTCTGTGTGTAAGTTTGTCTGTCTGTCACGAAATTCGTAGAACGTGTTCCAGCCAACCTCCTGAGCCCAAATTTTGCACAGCGTCTGCTACCAGCATAAAAGTCCACCATGCGAAAGCACGAGCGGATTTGTTAGGTGGATCCCTCAGAAATTGCGCGTCAGCCGGGTCCAGTTGGCTTTTGGCGCGCATAATCGGATCCGTATCACCACTTTTTGCAAAGTTGTGGGTGTGCTTGGCATCTAAATGTGCAAGCCATGGGCTTTGTTCCAAAAAAGGGATCAAAAGTCTACTACTTTACAAAAACGACGCCGAAAAAGTATTGATTGCTCGATGGTCGATTTGCCAAGGTTTTATTAAAGCATTTGAGAAGATTTTTGCACAGAGATGTGGCTCAGGGTGTTATTGTCCTTATAGCAACTACCTAGCCAGAAAAAAAATTTAAGAACCTATTCAAATTTGCATTTGTTCTTCTGCGAAAAATTTCATCCTCTCAAAATTACCGTTCTCACATAGAAAAACTTTTGGAATGAGTAGTTGTTTACATTTTATTCGTAATATTCGGCGTGTCCGGTGAGTTTCAATGCCATCATTAGGCATGAATGAGTAAGGCGTGCTCTGCAAATTAGTGTAGTTCGTAGCGCAAGCTGCAGCCAAGAGTTGGAGCTGATTTTTTGGCTACAGCACGAAAGCAGCACCCAGTTAATTATGTAAAGGAGTGAGCGAATCTGTATCGGTTGCTAGAAAGCGAGTCAAACGGATCCACCAGGCATTTGCTAAGGCAAACGAGATCCTAATGCAAGGAGTCTGCAGTAGCTGTAAGACTTTCAACTTGGACATCTTATAAGCCCTGGAATTCAGCGCAGATACATAGCAAAAAGTTAATTTCGTGCAAAAGTGGCGTCAAAAAGAGATGACTCAATTGATTATTGATTTTCAAAGAACTCACTGTATAGCTGGAAATATTCTAGGCTGGAAATGTAGTGTGCATCTGTTGTTATTCTAATTCGCCAACATCGCATAGATAAAACAGATTCAAAATTACACTAACCGTTCATCAAAAAGTATCGCCACGCTAATTTTACCGGTTTCACATGAAATCCTCGCAGAATGAATGGTTGTTTACATCATATTCTTCACGATCAGAATTTTCCGGGGAGGTTCAAAGCAATTTGAGAGATGAGGCAGGGCGCTGTTTAGCTCTGCTCAGATAGTTGGAGCGTGCGGCGCACGCGCGTTTATGGTCAATACGGCAAAGCGCGTGCCTTATTTGTGGGCGTGTCCGGCATTACGCCAAACGCGTGCCATCCTAGACATTTGGTGCGTGCGGCGCGCGTATTAATGGCCAACGCGCGACCCGCGCGCTATGTTTATGTTCGATCTCGCCACCCGCGCGCCTAATTTTGTAGCACGCCGCACGCGTGCCTTTATACTCTACCCGTGCGGCCCGCGCGCCTGCAATTATCACATGCTGTAAGCATAAGGGATACCCGCGCAGTGTACGACGCAGTGGTCAGGCTACCTCATCATTCAAGAGGTTAGATATTACGTCGTAGTGTATGAATAGTCGCAGAAGTGGAAGTTGTTTTTTGCTTCCAAGCGTTAGCCCTCGGTAGCTCTGCAAATGGATGCTGGATCTGAATTTTTGGATTCAAATACGAATTCATATTTTTGGCGTTTGAAGAGTGGAATTCATTATCAAGACCTATGGTATACAGCGCAATGAAAAACTGAAGTCATCCGCGGGCCAGCACCAGCGGCGCGACATCCAATGTCCCGCCACCCGCGCACTGGGTGTTGCGCCACCGTGTGACTGCGCGCGCGCTGCCCGCTTCAACTGTCTGAGTGAGGACAAGCATGGACACGCAGACCCGCACAGCACGATATTCATGGGGTGCATAGAGCCAGTACCTGCTGTGGGCGTGCCACACTTTACCTTCCTTAAGAGAAGATGTGCTCAAAAACTATAGAGTAGGACCAGTGCTAGCCTCTGCGAAGCAGAGGTGACGCACTGGTTGTATATAACCGCTGAGGATGAATAAATGTATGTATATGTAATGTACTATAAAATCTATGCGACCTCCCCGCAACTCCTCAGTAGGGAACATGGTCTTAAAGACTCTGGAAATATTCTTTACTAGCCGGCGGTCCCGGTTTCACTCGGGACTCCAGTTTAGCTAAGGAGAAGTTACTTATACTTACGCCTTTGAGCTTCTTCAGCGCAAAAAGGGCTTTGCAACGAATTGCCCGCATCTTTTCAACATTGAGATTAAAATGAGCTTTACCATCCCCTGACTACATGGTCACGGCAAAATGATTGGTTTGAGCATGTCAAGCCTCATTTTCCCAGATGTAAGTAAACAAATCAACAAATCAATAGAAGGATCTAGTAAACCGCTGCGAAAAGTAGCCTATGTTCTGCGCCGGGGTCCAAAACATAAGTGTGCAAAGTTTCAGCTCATTTAGTCCACTCAGAAAGATTTGTATAAAAAACATACTTATTAACAGACAAACACACTTTGAGTTTTATATATATAGAGATTTCATTATTTTGTTTTCTTAGTTCTCCTGGTTGCATTTGTAAGAAATTTCTTATTTCCACATGACGCTTAGTATTCGATGATGCAATCAGAGTTCAGCAAATTTGGCGCTTTCACACGCTAATGGCGTTTTTTGAGGAGGAGGAGAGGGGGGGGGGGGGAAGAGCAAAAAGAAACCCGTAAAGCTTGAGAGATCCTTGTAAATTGGAAAAATATTGACCCATTACTCTAACTAGGCTTGAATTCATTTCATCGTTGACAAATAAATTGACACGTTACAAACACAATTACTTCCCTCTGTCCACAGGAATTACTTCATAAATTCCTGTGCACAGATTTCACATGTTGAAATACACTTTATATGCATAAGAAAATGAACAAGCCTGTTTACAATGCGTAAGCATCATCAAACCACCAAATTTGGTGTGTACCTTCGCGGCGATGATCAAATAAAAAGTTGTGAAAAAATTGAACAATGATAGGAAAAGTGAATTAAAGAATTGTGAAAAAATCATACAAATGTTGTGTTTTCGATTTCAGGCCGAAAGCTAAGGCACCTTAAGGTTGCGCGGGATCAAAGTTGTAAAATTCCCCCTTACTCGCATAATTTTTTTCCAAAACTTTACGTTCTCTTGTTTTGCTACGGCCCTTGCTGAAAAACGCTTTTTTCGCCTTTTGCTCTTTTATTTCTGAGTTTCCTCTCCTCGTCTTTTCTCCATTTCTCCATTGATCGTTCGCTGCAGGTTTAGCCGTACAAATACCACGAAAGCTATTTTATACTTCTGCAGGGTCAAAGGAGACTTCATTTCCGGAATTCTCAAATGCCATCTCGCCTTGAGTAAACCAAGTAGTCCAAAAATATCTGAAATATGCTAACTTTACACATTACGTACTTTCCTTAAATTTAGTTTTGTACCAAGAATCGCCTCCAAATCTTCGATTTGCCCCATTCGTCACCGGAGGAAAAGATTCATGACTCTTTCACTGGAACGTCTTCATATGG